TGCAACTTAATCGAGTCAAATTTTCTCGAAATTGCATGTTAGGCATTTGTCTTAAGTAATCCGCATTTGTTTTTCGGCTTTACAGCGATCATATCAAGCCTAAAGGTTTCAGTAGATCATATATTAATAGAAAGCTGATAAATCTCATTTTTCTGGTTGTTCTAATTACTCCGCTTAAAGGCTTTAAGTGAATGAGCTTATTTCGCTGATTCCTTGGCAGAAAAAAAATCATTGCTATCAAGAATTCGAATTTAGTAACTCAATTCGACATCGTCGACATTTAATGGCATCTTAATTTACGACACTAACTCCTTAACAGTTTGGCAATGATTCTTAACGGAGCTGATGTATGCATAAAGTAATAGTAATTTTACACGTAATTACTTTGAGAGCAAATGATAGATATACGATCAAATCTAAGCGACTTTGCGTTTCAAGACTAAAAGCTAAACACTGCAGCAAAATTTTGCATTTTTAGAATATGACTTTTTTCAAGGCTATCGGTCATACTATACAGTCTTTCTTCTTTTGTAAGAATATCGAGGTTAAAATCTGCGAAATTTGAAGAATATTATTTGAGTAAACCCGAGGCTGAAATTTTCAATAAGATATAATTTTGTGCCTTGAAAATCTGTTAATGAAGTACAATTTATATGTTCTTAACTTAACTTATATAATCATTCCTTTCTCCAAACCGAAAAACTAACGAGTCAACTTTAAAAAAAAATGCACTGACTAAAGCCAAATATTCAAGGCTAATAAAAGTTCGATGAACGGTACATTGATACCCAAAGACATGCCAAAAAAGGAAATGATAGAAGCTTCAATTTAAGAGCGATACAAAAATATTTTCAGTCTGAAATTGGCACAAAAATAACAATATTAGGCCTGCGCCAGAAAAACAACATTTTTATAAAAAAGAAAGAGTTCACATAAAAAAAAAATCGACTGTTAAGGTCTGTTCTTGTAGTGCTTCTATACCGTGTGTGAATTTCAGCCGTTCAGTTAAAACCTGTACCCGTACACATAAGTTACGTTACTCCATGATACTCAATATACTTAGCACGCGTGTAGTGTTTTAGTCCTGCTCATTAGTAACGAAAAAAATAATACAAAAATTTAAACTTACAGATCCGTTAACTTAGGGAGATTGGAAAACACTTTAGGCAAAAGCTGTGCAATTTCGTTGTTGTAAAGTTTCCTGCAAAATAAGTTATTTAAGGCTTTCACAATGATACTTGACCGGTAGTACATCAACTGTAACTAGCGTTGAGTTTCAGCTTTTCTTTTGCAGACTCGCCTGAATTTCTCGTGCACGTACTTTGCATTCTCCAAGCTTTTACTCGAAATATTTAATAAAATGTGGACAAGGTTAAACAGCTGAAAAATATCGATAAAAAACTGAAGACTGTATTTCGTAGTAAGTCACTTTGTTGTCCGCTTAGTTTTTGCTAATTTCGCGAAGAAGAAAGCAAAGTAATATACAGTGAGGCTGATAGAGAGATAGAGGGAATTCCTGGCGATTTTCCCCGTTCACAATTGTTGTCCCTCGGACACTCAACGTATCAATATAAGGGAAAACGATATGCAAATAATCAAATTTAATTGACCCTTGTGCTAAGAACCAATTACAGCTAACCAACAGCTAAATTCTGCAAGTTCAGCGTATGAAATTTTCCCAGTTTATTAGTTATATTATTCATAAAAACGACTGTAAACGCCTGTTCTGTGGTACCGATACAGTGTGAATGTATCCTTGTGTTCTTTAAATTCTAGCGTTATGTCACCCGTTAAGTAAGAACTGCTATGTATGAGACTATTTTACTGGTGTGTATTCACATTTAGCCGTGTGCATACTCAGAATGATATATGTAATACTCGTATTCTTAGAGTTTTATTCTTTTTATTAGCAACAGAAATTCAAACTTACAGTTCCTTTAGCTCAGGAAGATTTGAGAACGCCCCAGGCGAAAGCTGTGCAATTTTGTTGTTGTATAGGGATCTGCAAAAATAATTAATTTTAATGTACTTCATGAGAACAATAATTTCTATGCTAGAAATTTGTATGTTCTTGAAGCCCCAATTTTCAGGTCGTAATGGAGAAGACGACGTGAGCCTGATTAGAAAGAGGCGATCAATTTCAGGGGAACATTCTTTGCGTAGAGTGGTAAATGCAGTCAGGTACGTAGTTAGAATGAACTCAAGAGCTTGCCTCTGTTACTAACCAAAAAAGCTCCTCAGTAGAGACAGAAGAGTGTTTTAGCTCAATCTTTTTTTCGCTGCCCCTCATTTTCACTTTACATTGGTGGCCGCTAAGATTTCTCATTTTCTCACCGCCGCTGCAAAATTTTCATGTTGTTTTTCCAACAAAAAATGAGTCTCCTTTGTTTTTTATATCTCGCTCTAGATTTCTGTTGCCCTTTTTCTCGTTGAGCGTCGCTAGCCTGTCGCCTACTTTCTCTTTTTCTCTGTCTTTCTTAAGCTCTATATTCCAAATTTGTGGACCTGACGACACAGATACAGAAACAATTTCCGCTTTCCGTTTTCGTCTTGATTGACTCTCTAGTTGTCTCTGCTTTATAATTACAAGACGCAGGTGGCTATGCGATTTCCCTCCAAAATAACCTCGAGTTGCATTTGGGTTGCCATACCTGTTAATTGAGTTATTTACATTGGTATGCCTGCGGAGCGGACGGTCGGTCGAGCGGGCGGGCGGGCGTTAAAGGGCACGTGATTACCAAAATTTCTGGGATGGGTATATGACCAAATTTCCTTACCATAATGCTCCGCTGCGCGCGCTTCGCCCTCCTGAGAGCTCCGCTAGTAATCATACATGAAATTAATTTGAGAGTAAATATATAACTTTACTGGACTATAGATATACGATCATTTACAGTTTTGTTTTACTCTTCATACAAAGTTTGATAGCGCAATAACTTTACCGTGTTAACTTTTATATTTAGGAATTTTTTAGTCTTTTTAAAAAGTCGTACGCCCAAAGAATTTGATTGAATTCTTTAATTGAATTGATGCAACGAGCGTTTAAAAATTTAATGTTTATTCTTGCGCAGCATATTGTGGACCAATCACCGCACGTCTCTTGTCAGGCAGTTTAAACAGTACCTAACATTTAACATTTTCTTTAGCAGACTCGCTTGCATTTCCCGTACATATACAGTTGACTATCGCCTTGCGGACACCTCGCTATTATGGACACCCCGCGAATTCGGACAAGAGCCAGCCCCCCGGCGAAACACATAAAGAAATGACTGAGACAAACTCCCACGGGGCGTGGGGATAAGGCTGTGCGGTTGTTTTATCGACAAAAACCAACAAAAGAAAGCGTGAAGGGAGAACCTCCTTGTGTATTGCGCTTAACTGTACAGTCCCAAAACTTTCTCCATACAGCAAACTCATCGCATATATTAGTCACATTTCAGTTAATCGAACGGTGTGGACAGTTTGGATAACAATGTTGCTTTTAAGAAATATGGCCAAGCTCATATAATATAATATATTTTATTAATTTTATATAGCGCTAAAACTGTATACATATTCTAAAGCGCTAACAAAAGCTAACAAACGTACACTAAACATGACAGTCAGTTAGGCAAAATGAAAATAAAACATAACATCGCAATCACTGTACACCAATTGGTTCAATGCGCAAATGCTAAATGAAATCAAAAGGTCTTTAGAGCCTGCTTAAAACCCTGAACACTCCAGATACTCCTAATAGCTGACGGGGGAGTGTTCCACAGTGAGGGGCCAACAAGTGCGAAAAGGCCCTGTCCCCAAGGGTCTCACACTATGTTTTGGGGACCTTTAATTCGCAGCTGGCATTAGATCTTAAATTGTAGGGACCACTTAAGGGCGAATAACTATAATATAATAATATTTAATTAGTTTTTGCCTCGAACAACTTAATCATTCTTTGTTTTCTTCACAGCGGAGAGCATGCCCGGTTGTGAAACACAACCAGGATGCAGTGTAGCAAAAGTTTTCAAAGGATTTAAGGTACCTGATTTGAGCATTAAAGTGAAAGAATGTCTTGAGATGAGAATTTGTTATTAGAAATCTATCATACAATGAATGTAAGAGTAAGAGGATTTATGTTGACTTGAATTATAGTTGCATAACTGTCTCGAATTCTCCCAATCCTTCTCGTGTTCATCAGGCTATGCAAACACGGAAAACATTTTCTATTGCTCAAAGATTTAATAAATGCCTATAATAACAACTAGATCTAATGTAAAGAGGAAGTCTGACCTATAAGCCTTCATGGCTTCTTGTGACGCCCTCGCCTTTTGAGATTCTTTTCTTTCGAAATGAGTTTTTTTTTGCTTTAAAAAAATTAATGTCAAACTCAACTGAATGGAAAAAACTGTAACGCGGCTTTCTTTATCCATACTACCTGAAGTAGGAGTAGGGCGCTGTATGCTGGACAAGGCATCGCTAACTTGATAAAACTGGGAGTGAAAAATTTCAAAGCATCTTTTCTTTCTTTATAAAGGCGACAAAATGTTATTAAGGAAGAAAGCAACTCGAGAATTCCAACGTTTTGTATACTAGGAATCTCAACGTGAAAGTGAGTGCTGACATTAGAACCGGAAGATATTGCCTATGGGGAGGATCGTATCAAGAAATGGTCTACTGTATTGTTCTAAATTCTAATTTCACCCATCAAGGTTTAAGCAGTAAGCGTTTTAAATTGTTGAAGGTGACGCCTTTCCAGATCAAACCCAAGCTTTTAGGAGTGATCTTTAATTCTTGGGCGTGCCAAGTTTCTCTCATAATTTGCACTTTAATTGGTGATTTTTTTTAATTACTGGATTACCGAGAAGAAGAAGCACTTCCAAAATCAGCGTAACATATACGTATTGTTCAAGGGAATAATTAGGAAGTATTTCACTAAAGAATAAGCAGAAGTTGCTGTTCATGCATTTATCGCATCGAAACTAGATTATTGTAATGCATTACTATACGGCCTACCTAAGTATCAGTTACAAAGATTGCAGTATGTACAAAACACGGCAGCTAGAGTTGTGTTGCAAGTAAGTAAGTTTCAGCATATCACACCTGTTTTGTGCGAGCTTCATTGGCTACCGATTCAATATCGTATTATTTTCAAGATTCTGCTCCACGCGTATAAATCACTGAATGGGACATCGCCTAGCTATTTAACTCAGAAACTACATTATCGTTCTCATACTAGATCTTTGAGGTCTGTTAGTAATGAACTTTTAATGCAACCTAGATCGTATACCAAGACCTACGGAGATAGAGAATTCGCTGTTCATGCACCAAGAGAATGGAACCTAATACCCTATGAAATTCGGAAGTCCAACACCATCTCGAGTTTTAAAAGATCAGTTAAGACGTACTTGTTGACCAAATTCTGTAATAACAGATCATTGTTTCTATAGATTTGTATATATTGCGTTAGTTTTAATTTTTCCCTTTTTTAAATCATTATGAATAAAAAAGTTTAATAGTTGCTTTAGTTTTAATTTTTCCCTTTTTTTGTACTCATTGTAAATATAATTAGGATATGGTTGTAAATTTGCAAATACTTATCAATAATGTTGTTTACATGACTGTAAAGCGTATTGAACATAGGACAAGAGCGCTATAGAAATACAGTTATTATTATTATTATTATTATCATTATTATTATTATAAGTATGATGTTTAAAAACGACATAGCTAGCGTTAGTGTAAATTCTTAGCAAGCGAACATCGCAGAAACCTTTAGCCCAGTCTGGGCTTTTAAAAAAAGTTACCGAGCAAAAAGGCAAGGCAAAGTAATTCTAGCAGGGCAATTTTAGCAATAGTTAGGCAAGCAAGGTTATCAGAAAAGTAAGAGAGAAGGCGAAGGAATTCTGAGATATAACACGATGAAAACAGACGAAAAGACGAGCCTGAATTTCGGTTAATCCAAAAATGGTTGCTTCTGACTTGTAAGCACTTAAAGGACTGTGGTTGAAAGAGACTCTTCAAAGACTTAAGAAACGAAAGCTGAAAAACGAAGCAAAACTATGGGTAATATATCTACCGTGGACCCTTCAAATACCAGATCGGACGTTCTAACCACTGAACCACCAGGGCTCTAGTGTTAGTGAAGTCGGAATTCTACTATACCAGCAGATTGTACTACACTTCTGTGCTCGGCGCTGAGTAATTTTCGTGCCCCGGGCGAGCATGGTTTCTCCTTCTTCCAACTGAAATTGTTCACTGGAAGTGTACCTGTGCTGCTCACTAGTGCATCATTAAAATTAATTTACTAAAAACTAGAAGAAGCCAGTCAATCGAGTGACACACAAGTCCCCAAACCCTTTCGAACACAATGCTTATGGTGTGGAGGCCAAAACACGCCCTCAAGATCGCCAAGCAACCAGGCCATGCAACCATTGCGCTAACTGTTACTCAGAGACCACCTTGCGAAAGTATGTAGATCCCCAAAGACAACTTAAAGCCAAAAGGTTAAAGAGAAGCTAAAGAAACAAACAGGAGCCTCCTCCGCCACAATCAAACACTAATTGCCAGCTTCACAGGGGAAAACGACTAATTTCCTTATAACTTATCCGTTGTTTTCCGTTCTTCTTTAGTCTCTCATGCAGGTGGACTATGCCACTTCATGTCACAACCCTCTCTTGTCAGTCTTCGAGAAACTATCATCTGCCGCCAGACTGAGACCTTCCCTCTCCTATAAATATCCTTACTCTAAGAAACCCATACGTCCAATCGTAACGTCATTAAGCCCACGTAAGGGGACTCCCACATCGAAACATCGAAATTACAAGTCGAAGATTCAGCACACATTCAGGAAAACCAGCCCCCCTTAGTGGCAGCAAGGGTGTTTTTCTCCAAAACAACGAACATAAACCTAGCCAGCCCCACATCCACATTTAGCCACTTACACTCAGATGACGTCCACACCGGCCGTCGGCGGTCTCAGTGACTTTACGACCAGGGGTCAATTTCTCGAAAGTTCCGATAACTTTTCTGGCCCGAAAAGCTATTCTATGTTCGCTGTGTTTGCATTCAAGATGAGTTTAAATAATTTTGAAAATAATAAAGTGAAATTATCAGTAAACGAAGCAAAATTGACCTGTTTTTTAACCTACATGTAGGAACTGGGCTTTCAGGTAGCCTCTCACGAAGGCTATTGTAGGGGAGTCGTATTTCCTCCCTCCCCACAAACGCCTGCTTAGCCAAGACCAACATTTCTTTCCGCCGCTTTGCCAATCAAATGCATATGGTACCTATCAAAATCTAGTGAGTTTACCTTGAACGCAAAAGCTTTTCACGCAACCGGAGCCAGGACAAATGATCTTGATAGGGCTTTTAGCATCCGTGTTTATCAAGTTTAAGATTCCTCGGTTAAATTCATTTCAGATAAGAGCGATTTACAAATTTTTAAAGTAACAAGGCGACATATACGCCAGTTTTCTGACTGGCTATGACAAATCGCTTGTTTAACCAGTTTAACATTCGGTGATCGATAGCCTCAGTCACAACTTTTTCGCGTCACGTTGCGGTAGTTGAGTCACCTCTCGCATCAGAGTATCCTAGTCAGTCTGCGCGATTTGTAGCTAGAAGACACGGAAAAGAAGAGAAAACAGCGTATTCGGTTCCTTTTGACACTATACAGTCACGGTGGAACACTGAACGTCGGAGAGAGACTCTGTCCCGTCGACGTGGAAAAGTTATGTTGATGAGGTAGGTTATAAAGCAATTTTAAGAGCAGGAAAGATGGAGTAATTTTGTTTCATGTGTCGAGATGAGTAAGAAAACTTCACAGATTTCGACGCTGAAGTTCGCTTTGTTGTTGCATGAAGTGTAAAGTTTCACCTCTAATGTCAACATCTTTATTCGAAATTTGCTGATATACCCTTCGATTTACAGAATGCCACATTAATGTAAATGATGTCTTCTTAATTCTTCTTTGCTTTTTCTAATCACACTGAGCCTTTTTTGGCATTTGGCGCGTAAGTAAACAACCCGGATCCAAAGCTCTGTTATTTGCTGAATTCTCACCCCATGCCCACTCGATCAAACGAGGAATGTCATCTCCAATTTTCCGCAAATTCTGTACTCTTCCAGACCGTCGCACAAAAAACGTTTGTATTCCCTTTCAATCATTTTTTCCGTGCAATGATAAGTAAAATAATTGCATTTTTGACTTCACAGCGTCCACATCTCTCAAGGTAGATAGAATGCGCGGGTAATTGTAAGAAAATATATCTCACTATTGATTGGTCACATTACCATTCGAAAAAACATTTCGAAAGGATTGTTGGTCTCGGGTTAGCAGGTTCTTGTGGAGAGGAAGGGAATATGACTCCCTAAAAATGCCTCCGCGCATTGGAGGCTAACTTTCAGGAAGATCAACTGAACTCAGCGTGTAACGGCAATGATAAGGTTGAAGGCCTGATAACCGTAGGTAAGCCAGTCCGCCTTACGTATCAGTAGCGAAACTTGAAAAAATTAAAAGCAGAAATAAGCGACGTGGTAAAATGTTAAATGTTAAATGTTGGAAAGTCGCTTAGCATACCGACTGGTGCAGCAACATGACGGTACGATAGAAAGACCTCCCTGATGGCGCCACCAAAGTGTTTGGCGCGAAGCATATTTTTTAAAGAAACTCTCTGCAAACAGTTCTTTTTAAAGGCAGTGATATGACATTATTTAAACATGAATTTATAATGTCAATTTGGCTTTCAGAGAAAGGGTTGACACAAATCTCTGCAAACCGAGCAAAGATATTTACATCCCGATTACAACTTTTGACAATGGTTAAAATGTGTTTGGTGAGTACTTACAAACTACAAAAGACGAGAGTTAGTAAATAAAACTAAACCCCTATTGTCCGATCAGGCTGCCGTGAGAAGTTTCCTAATCATCAGGAGAGTGACATTTTAAGATAATAAGAGCATAAATTTAATTTGTACCCAATCGGTGAGCGTTTTAATTAACTCCCGTAACTTAAAATATCTTTAGCTATCCGCTTTTATGGGCGGGGGGCAACCAAACCAGCTTTACCAGAAAATACCAAGAAAGCGACTTAATTTGACTTGTTGCAGTTTACTTGTAGATAGAAAATTATCATCTTATATAATTTGCAACAAAATCCTAATAATATACTTGATGAGATCCCCTGAAACACTTTCAACTAAACGAAAATATAGCACTTACTAAGCCTGACCAACTGATAAACAGTAAAACGACCATCCCTCTAAGGGAGAGTGCATAGTGGCAGATATATACCTCGACACTTCTCGTCACCCACCACCGTTTTTCGGGGGATAGCTCTATACTATCATATCCTCAAATAATCACACTGAATAAACCAAAAAATATATTTCAATTGGTTATCTTACAACTTTTCCAAGAAGGGAGGCTTTTTGAATATTCCTGGCGGGAGCTTCTCGATCTTGCTTGACGATAAATCCCTGCAGCAAAATTAAAGTAAAGAGGGTCAAAGTAATCACACAAACACCTGTAACTTATAAAATATCAGCGAAGGTCTTAAAGGAAATTCGCTTGCCAATAGAAAAAACATATTGATCTCACAAGAACAAATTATCGAGCCGGCAAAATTAAACAATTCTTTACTAGATGTTTTTCATTCTGGCTGTCTTAAAATTTCGAGTTATTTTATGAAATTAAATAGAAGAAATAATTGTACGTCAGTGACGACAAACCAAAAGCGACGATAACAATAATGATACCCATTTTTATTAAATTATTTTAACGTTTAAATGTAAAGCTTTATATAGTGGGAAAATAATTAGAATTTACCTTTACCGGTATATCATAGTAATAATAATGATGATGATAAAGATGATACCGTAAAATTCCGAAAATAAGCCCCTACAAATATAAGCCCCCCAAACTCGTAACGCAAAAACCCCTCCGTTAATCCGCCCTTCCAAATATAAGCCCCCGGGGGGCTTGTACTTGGAAATCGCCATCAAATACAAAAACAAAGCATGCAAAAGCGGTAAATTTCCTTCCAACTATAAGGGTAGCCTAATCGATTTTGAGACGCAAATTTCTTTCCCTAGATAAGCCCCTCCGAATTTAAGCCCCTCCAAAACTAAGCCACTCACAAAGGGCCTTTGAAAAATATAAGCCCCGGGGCTTATTTTCGGAATTTTACGGTAATTTTAAATGAAGATATGCAGAGGTAATTGCAATTTAAGCTACTGCAAATAAACCCCTAAAAAAGTTCGGGACTTCAACGGGAGTTTAACCAATGGCGTCTGCGGTAGCGCTGCAGCGTTCTACCATTTGACCTATGAAAGTCCCACGTCTTGGGACACATTTTTTTCAAATAAAACGGGTTTATTTGCAATTGTGTAAATTGCAATTACCGCTGCCGCGATCACATCTTCATTTAAAGTTTTTATTTCCACAGTTCACATCATCTTCATTAATGATAAATGAAAATGATGATGATAATAGTAATAATACTAATAATAGTGATGATAATAATAATGAAAAAGAAGGTGAATGTTAGTTCTTAGTTTCGTTTACGTACACTCGTTAAACATTAGGAAATGCTCTCAATGGCCGGGAACATGGCAATGTGTAAAAGATAGTAATGAATTAGTTGATAGAGCAGCGTTTATTGATTCTGTGGGAATTTTAAGGGCCGATTTGAAAGATAAGGCTTTTGAAAAGCTCTGTGATTCCTTGGTGTAAAAGAGACTGCATGCTGCATTCTTGAAGGAAGGAAGGAAGGTTGGAATAGCGCGCCGCGGTTTTGATGCACCTGTGTCATTTCTTTGGACATCTGTCGTCTAATCATCATCAGTGATTCGCGCGCCCACGTGTATGTTATTCAATAGCGTGCAACAGGTTATGCCATAGCTAACGACTAAAATAAGAAGGTGAATGCGTACATTCGAACTTTTTTCCACATTGTAAATGAAAGGGCAAGTTTTGCATTGCACACGCGCTCATTTGAAAGTCCAAGGTTGATCGTCAGCATGTTAAGTTAAAGTAAAACAAGTACATAGTGGTTGCCAAAAGATTCTCTTATTTTCATGGTCGGGATTTTGGAGCATTTTGTAGTTTGTGTGTGAAACTGGGGTAAAACGATGGGAATTTAAAAAGTAAGAAAACATCAGGCCACTTAATTTAAAGTGAAAAAGGAAATATACTTACAATTCAGTGGTTGTAGTAGGAATGCAATTCCAGTTATGTGTTATGTTGCTTTCACTACAGTTGTGTTTGTTGGTAAGTTGACCAGAACTTGTTATCGAACCTGTACTGCGACACCAATGATTGCAATCTACAAAATCAATCGCGCAAGAATAAGGCAGTTGCTAGGGGCAATTTTCACGAAAGCTGTACACTTCGATATATGCATTAATCGAGTATTAATAACGAACTTTCATTTTTACTTATTGATTAAGGGTGAAACTGAATTTCAAATATTATATTTTGGTAAATTCGTATTGTTTACAAACTTAAATGGACACAAATTACCCGTGTTCAAAACAGTGGCGAAACAAGAAAAAGTAGACTAAACCTGTGTACATTCATTTTTCCCCGAATGAACTGAATCATCAACGGATAAAATAAGGACAAAATTTAACACAACTGTTTGTTTACTATGGTTGTCTTAATTGCAAAATGTCTCATCTACATTGAATGAAATTTTAGACCATTGAATCCTTACCCAGAACGGTTACGTCAACCGTTTTTGAGTCACTTCCTTTATTGTTTTCTGCTAGTAGAGTGTACTTGTAGGTACCCGTCCGATTTATTCGAAATCCTTTTCTGAAGAAACTGCCCTCCAAAGATGCTGATGTATTCACTAGGGTCAAGTTAATTGGTGGAGTACCTTCTAGCAGAAACCAGATATAATGACTTGGTACAGTTCGCCACTCCGCCAACGGTACCCTGATCCTTGGCTTTTCTGAAAATGTCAATTTCCGATTTCAAGTTATATCAGGTTGCAAGCAAAATTAGAGTAGCTTAAACCTACTTCAAAAATATAAGCGAATACTCTTTGTATCGTAGAACACCTCGCTCAACGAAACCCAATAATTTTTAGCGGAGCCTCAGCATGAAGGTGCGGTGGAGCCTCCATTGCTATAGAAAATGGAAACCTCTCGATGCGAAAAAATCCAATAAAGATCTTGAATTTGGTTTCTTTAACTAACAACAAAAAAACTTGGACAAATAGAATTTGAAAAATTGCTTTTAGCTTGGTCACGCTCCAGGACCAATCTAGTCTCCGACTGGTCAAAGTTTCGACAGACTTACTGGGGTCACTGAAATGGAACAGTTGGTTATGATTCGCAATCATTATGACCTCCTTTTCCACGTCAGTGACCTGCTCTTACCTTCATTAAAAATAATAACCTGTTCATAGAAGGATGCATTAATACGATTCATGTTCAGCGTTATCAGTCGGTAGATTTTCCATGCGGATTATGGTAGCAGCTGAGCTACATTAATTCTTGCACTTTATCATCATTTGCACTCAATATATAGCCTGCGTAGCTGGCGGCATTGTGTGGGTGCGAAATTAAAGTTTTCGCGGCGGAGCCGAGTTCCAAAAAAAGGGAGTAGGGACGAGACGGTTGAAATACCGCCTGCCAGAAAGCCCCGGTATTTTGAATAGTCCGCACACCAGTGTGCGGAGAAACGGATTGGTCGAGGGCCATACATATGTCAGTCATATTAGATGTTCCTTCGCATATATTTCCCAATTAAGGGAGCAGATGGCAAACTGGAAAAGACGTAAGTGATTGTGGATTCCCCTTTAAAAAGAGCATAATTGGTGACCAAATTGCCGAAATGGTCTTTAAACTTTACAGCGCTGGAATTGTCTTTATTTAGCCGTACAAACAAAGGTCAAAGAAAATTAAAACACTTTACAACTGCATCTGAGATCAAATCCTATCAGGAACACCTACAGAAGAATAAACCAGAGGAAATGGTTACTCAGTATGCATGTAACAAACCAGCTTCATGACCTTTTAATGTTAAGCCTATTGTCCCAAAAAAAGGTTTACTCAGTCAAAGTTTAGAATGATACATGCACTGTGTAGTGCTAGTAACCTTCGCGCGAGAGCCGAGAAAATACAAAAAAACCTCTCTTCAAGCAAACTCACAAGGTCACGTTTCACATTATCACGAGCTTAGGAGTCGTGTTTAGCCTGTCAACGCTTATTTCTAAACTGTCTCGAGCGAAAATAATCGGAAGTTTTTAAATTGCAGGTTTCTCTTTGATTGCCTGATTTAATTGGGATCAGCTAAGGTGACAAAAGTGGGCGGCATTCGAAACATCATGGTTCTCTGGCAGGCGGTATTTCTCGCGGCTTCGCCGCTCGTGACGGCTCCGCCCTCAAATCTCACTCGACTACTACACAATACCGCCAGCTACGCAGGCTACTCAATATAATTTGACTGCCCAAACCACAGGCAACCCACGCTCACGTTAAAAGTGTGTCATGTAAATTTACTTTCTCACAAGAGAGTCGGTGTCGTGTTACAAGCGATCGTTGAGACTTGAGAAATAAAATACTGAGGTCTGCGAACGCTAAATATCATTTTTACTTTTTTCTATAAACTAAATAAAAGAGACCTACCTAGTCTCCTTTATTTATGTTATAGAAAAAAGTAAAAACAATGATATTTAGCGTTCGCAGACCTTGTGTGTTATTTCTGATACAAAGTCTCAACGGTTGCTTGTAACGCGACACCGACTCTCTTGTGAGAAAGTAAACTTGCATAACACACTCATAACGTGAGCTTCGGATGCCTATGCCCACACTAACACGTTGGTGGTTTCTTGGTGTTGCGGATCACCAAATGACGTCACCTTTAGCCTGTTTTGTGTTTCTCACTATCATAAGGTTCAAGTTTTTATTCAACGTCTACAAATCCTCATTTCGGCAAACGAATGCAAAATTTCTGTCGGTTTCTCAGTACCGACAAATTCACTGACAACTTTTAACTAAAGTAAGCGACAGTTCAACTGACATGAACCGACAAACCGACGACTGACAAATTTTGTCGGTTTGTCAGTACCGACAAATTCACTGACAAATTCTGGCCAGTTTGAAACTTAACCTTAGCAGCGGCTACAAAGCAGTGGACTGCTCCAGAACTAACAAAAATGCGGAGTGGCGCAGTGGTGAGAGCACTCGCCTCCTACCAATGTGGTCCGGGTTCGAATCCTGGCGTCGACGCCATACATGTATGTTGGTTGAGTTTGTTGTTGGTTCTCGTCCTTGTTCCGGGAGGTTTTCTCCGTGTATTTCGGTTTTCCCTCTCCTCAAAAATAAACACTTCAAATTCCATTTCGATCTGGAACGCACGGACACGTTTCGACGACTTCTTGAGAACTTCTAAATGCTCCGTGGGTAAAGAGATGTCAAGTTACAATTTTTTTTTAACCGGTGCCTAATTTGTACCCGAGCTCGTCCTTAATTGTACTCGGGCACCGGCACCGTGCCCGAATTCCAGCGTGGGTACTTGAAAAAGCGGGTGTGTTCACAAGGTTACCACTTTTTTTTGTTCCTTAGCCAATGCTTTAAAAAATATATATTTCATTTCATGCTCTAGGTAACTATGTTTACTCTGCATTGATCGATGTAAAACGCAATTTCGAACGAAATATTCCATTTAAATGGTTCGTTACTTTAGTTTGCTTTACTTAAAAATCGATTTAAAGGGACACAGTCAGCTATGGGAACGCGCTGACCAGGACACTAGTTTTGCAAGTTTGAAAAGCGTTTATCTCAACCTGAAATTAAATGTACGTTTCAGATACATCTAGAAATCCGCTCTGTCTTGCCTACTGTTTTATTCGATCCTCGATCTTTTACTGAAAACCTCTTTTTTTACTCATCCTTTTACAGTATTTTACCATATTTGGTTAAAAATAGTATCCAAAGGAACATGAACACGCGTTGGCGCCGGGCGGGAGGAATCGCCTTCGTTTACCAAAATAACAAGAGAAATGAATCAAATACACTGGCGAGCAAATAATCATTTGATATATTTGGAAAATCGATGTAAGTAGTTACGTGTACGTGGAAAATCAATCTTTCTCGGCCTTGAACCTTCGACAATGATTCAGACTTCGCGTAATTTCGTACTCTACTAACGTTCGAAAGTATTCGTCGATGTCTGGAAAAATCCATCGGTGAAGTCGCAATGGTATATATATATATATATATAAATGAGTGCTCTGATATGGCTTAGGGTCTATAATCACGATTTCGGCTTGTAACTAGTTCAACTCTACAAGGTTTGCTTAGAGTATTCCGGATACGCTTCTCACTTCTGTTTCACGCGCGTCTTCTAACATGCAAATCAGCTAAGAAATGGCATCTAATGCGCATCTGCATCAGCTGACTGTGTCCCTTTAAGAACTAGCTTCGCTCTGCAATTCTATTTTGCAAACAGAGTAACTCAAATTTCATAGTCGGAAGAGCCGTATTCTCGCTAAATCTAAACTGAACCGGGCTGCCTCTCATCCCTCTTCTGTGACAAATTAGAATCTCTTCCTCAGAAGATACAAAGGACGAAACAGCTGAAGACCTTACAAAGACCTGAGAAAGTTGCCATTTTACTCTCTGAGTACTCGTTTTTCTGAGATATAATAATATATACGTACGATCGTCGATATTGATGGAATCCCTAGTTCTAGTAAACACAAGCGAAACATGCAGTGCTAAAGAGACACTCACGTCCCTATTGACCTTAGGAGATGCACTTGAGTGTAACAGTGTTCTTTATAAAGAATTCAAAAACTGTTTATCAAGGTGTGACTGTGACACGGTTTTTTTTAACTAAAAGAACCCGTTCGTTGACGAATCACTGCTAATTACTCTTTTGACACAACATTTTTGAGCAAAGATGACCCGCTGTTCTTCATGTTCCTTCTAAAAACTGTTTATGGCTTAGGCGACATCTTGGCTTTCTATTAAGTCCTCAACACATCAGGGCAATAAGTAAGAAAATCCAGGTACAGGCACCGTTTACATTTAAGTTACAACTCTCTGAATGAATGGATGGAGGGAGGGAGGGAGGGACGGACGGACGGACGGACGAACGAACGACTAAATGAATGAATGAATCTCTCATCCCTCGCTTTCTCAGGACCTCTTCAAATCGGGCTTAAATGGAAAAAATGGCTGGCTATGCCCCTGATTTTAAATATACTTAATTGAGCAAAGTGGAAACCTTTCAAGAGAAATGTAAAGGACTATCTTTGAGGGCAAAATTCAGAAATCGTCTATGCTCAAACAAAAATTTCTAGTGTTTACAAGCGATTATGGCGAGATACCGCGCAACATACTATACTGGATAAAGCGCAAAGCACTGCAAAACATAATTCTTTCTACTTACCAGCAGGAATAACAGTGTATCCTGCTATAAATCCACGGGCTGTTACATAACTATCAGTAACAAAACGTACAATCAAGGTTTCGTTGTAAGAAGAAAAAGTCAAATTGCTGGTGAGTGAACCACATAAACGCCCAGGAAGCACACCACTAGCATATATGGCAGCATTTTCAATTTGTATATAGTCGTAGCCACAGTTAGTCTCACGTTCTATGTCCATGTCTTGAATGACCAACTTGACGCGATTTCCTGTACTTGCCATGATTTTCCATTTGCAATTGTGGTTATTACCATAATTTCCCGGGTAAGAAGGACTTGTGATGATGCCTGAAGTCCCTGTCAGGATTGCCATACTTGGACACGCTGACGCTTTAAGACAAGAGAATAATAACACGTTTCGTTTTGGAAAAGATGAAACACTTGCCACGTCAAGCTCGTGGAAAAAAGAAAGAGATTTGACTTCCCACAACAGTGATCGGGCGTTTTAATCATATAGTAGTCAATTTATCCTGGTGTTAAAGGGGGTTTGTCTCGAGGATATTGCTGTTTTTAGAAATAATACGTGCTGCAGTCATTACTTAGTGCCTATACACTTAAACAAAATGCTCCTTTAGATTTATGGAGAAGGTCTCAAACAAAATTTATCAGACAGCACTAGCCATAATTATTTTTCGGTAATTTTTTGCATTGAAAAGGCTGGCCATTTTTTCAAGTTTCAATCATCCTTGCCATCCATATTAACAGACGACAGGAAACGGTTTCAATGCCTAAATATAGTCTTATTCTTGGAATTCAATTGATTCGAAAACACGCTTTAGCTTTTTAAAAAGGTAGAAAATAGCGTGACATAGCCCCTTTAAATAACTTGGCACATCAGGGGCACACAACGAGAATATAATTCAAAACCACTTAAATATAGCATTGTTAAACATATTTTAGTATTTAAACGGTAGATATAGGCATATTTTTATCCCCTAAATATTTCTCATCTGTTTTATTTTATTTTATTTGCCACACAATAATTACAAAAAATATAGGAAAAGAAGAAAAAAAGAAGTGGCGAGGAGACCTAACAGAAACTATAGGAGCTTATAAGAGGTTAGGCCTCCTCGAACTATGAGCTAGAGCTGTTTCAGATCAATTGAAGAAAAGAAGGCGAAAAGTCGAAGATGGAAAGACTTATGAACTGTTTTCATACTTACTCAATAATTTAATCTTCAGTTTTTTCTTAAAAGAGGAGAGGGATTGAGAGTTGATGATCTTGTTGTCAAGTGAATTAAAAAACTTAGGCCCTTGAAAAAAGGGCGAGAACTTCGTGTTTGTACGACAATAAGGTAGACGGTAGGCCTGGGAATTTCTTGTATTGTAAGAGTGGAATTGATTGCTTTGAGAGAAATTGTTATTAAACTTTGGAGGTAAGAATGAATTTTTGAAAGAATACATAAATAAGCCCAGTTGAAGCAAATGGATATCGTTAAATTTTAGTATACCGAGGTCCTTAAAGATGGGTTCAGTATGAGCATTGAAATGTGATTTATTAATAATTCTAATAACGCGCTTTTGCAGGATAACAAGGCGGCGGAGATTGGTTTATAGGTCGAAGCCCAAACGATATTGCAGTAGTAAAAATAAGGATAGATTAAGGAATAGTAGAGCATACGTAAAGACGATTTAGGAAGAAAGAAGCTGCATCTAGATTTTATACCGATTGACTTCGCAATTTACTTGCAACGTGTGACATTTCCGACTTCCAAGTTAGGTTTTCATCCAAAATTACGCCTAGAAAATTTGTCTCCTTTACTTCAACTTGAAAATAAAGGATCGTAATTTAGGCTGGAAAGTCTTTCAGGATCATTAAAATCATTATAATCGTCTAAAGCATTAAAAGGTAAAGTGTGATCAGGAATCGAAGCCATGGCTAATAAACAATAAATATATAAATACGTACTATAAATATTATAGAAAGCTAAAGCACAAAACTACACAGCTACTTAACTGGGACGCTCAATTCTGTCTTTAATAACCAGCCTGTCTAAAACGAAATAGGCTATTTTCCCGTTTCTTCTCGCCTCTTCAAACTTAGGACGCCGCTCTTCCCTCTTGTCAAGGGTTTCTTGTGCCAGGTCTTCATCAACAGAAATTCCAGGGGGCTTGATTCTCCTTGCACTTCTGATGATCTGTTCTTTTTGCTTCCAATCGCGGAGGCGACAAACGATGGTCCTTGGACGTCTCTACGGAGCCAGTTGTAGCATTTGCTCTTCTGCCGACTCGATAAGCCCGCTCGATATCCGGTTCTTCATCGAGGTTAAGCTTCTCTTTGAGTATCTCCTTTTCTTTGGTTTCGGTGTTGTCCCAGGTTTCTGCTTCTTCCTCTCGAATGCTGTCTGTTCGAATATTTCTCCTTCTACGTTGGTTCTCCAGATATTCGATCCTATCAGTGTGGTAATCGAGGGAACCGCACATCTTTTCAATCTCTTCTTCGACCTCATGCAGTCGGGATGAGCATGGTATCAAGTCCTTGATATCTTTCTGGGAGAACTCAAGGCTCACCTTCAATTCGCTAGTGTCTTTCTCGTAAATATCTAGTCTAGCTTTGATTTCTGCGACTTGGCCGATGACGGAATCCAGCCGTGTGTTTACGTTGGCCAACAGTGAGTCGAATAAATTCTTAAACATTCTTTCTTGCACTTTCAACAAGTCCCTCAGTGTCGCCATTGTGACAAGTTCAGATCCCGCGGAATCAGCTCCTTTAGTTCTAGCAGCCTTCGTGGTACGAGTTTCAGGCATAGGTAATTTAGTTAGAGTCGTAAATGGCAAATAGCAATAACAAAAATTGAGTGGAAAACAAGATTCACTAAGAAATTAAAGCAATTATCGCGGAGTAAAGAAAGTACGACCGTACGCCACTCTCTATGCAAATTCGGACCTCCTAGCTTAAAGTCTATATCTAGTGATCCGAAAATTATAGGGATCAAAACTTACCTGTTCGAAATTTCCAGCCAGAGAAAAGGCTCCCGAAAATTCGTGACCTTTTTAGGGTAAAAATCCGTTAAAAATAGGCAATTATATCATTTTGTAGATTTTCGAAAATCCTAGCAGAGGCAGGCAAGCAAGAAATTTTACAAAAAATGTTCCGAAAATTCTAGATATCAAATCGTCTTCCGAACAGATATTTTCCGAAAATTGTCGTTAGGTGCCCCTGGTACATACCGTAAGAAATACCTCCATGGAATTCCATCGATTTCCATGGCATTCCATGGGAGATAAGGACATCAATTTGAATGGAATTCAATGGAAAAGTTCCACGAAATTCCATGGAAACTACTGCATCCAATTCCACTGATCTCCATGGAGTTCCATGAAATTCACAGGAATTAGACCATGGAATTAGAATATCGCATTGAGTTACAGATGTAAATGGAATATATATATTTACAATCTTCCACAGATTTAGGTGTCACTGCAAATTGCTGGATAAGTTCCCTTTATTAAATAGGAAACCGCTCAATCTCTTTGAAAAGTTATAAATACAAATTACTTCAGCTCAATGAAATCAAAACTCACTCAGAACAACAAGTTGCTCAAACGTACGTCGATAAATTTTTAGTGACTGACAGTTAGTGAGATTAAGGTCCTGACTCTTAACTGTTACAAGGTGCCTGTACTGAGTCTCTAGACAGCCAAGTCCAAGGAGCAACTACTCAGCCTCCCCACCCATGAAGCTTATGACTAGTCAATCACTTCCCCCAAGCTCTGCTAGTAGTGTTTCAGGCGAAGCCTTCCAGACTATGAAAAGTGCATCAGGAAATCATGAACAAGAGATGAGTGGACCTGCGGACATCGACGGTGATTGAAGACTGACGCAAAAATAATACAATCAAGGGTCCAAAGAAACGCTGACTTATACGAGATAACTCAAAGTCAAGTGAATGAAGAGCAAATGAAGACTGAATAAAGTAATGCCAATTGGTCACCTGTTCACCACACCCCATCACTCCGCCATAAAAAACGACAACACAAAACAAGTTGACCAACTGCCTCGCTTAAGTCGAAAGTGGGTGCCTGGGACACCCAGGGGCTTCCACTGTGGCCAGCCAGCCCCTAGATAGAAAACTGCCCCCATGGCTGGCAAATATCCCCGCAACCCAGCCATGAGCCCCCATTCCAGGCACCCGTCACACTGATGAAACAGTGGAAGGAAGAAAAATAGGGATGGGAGGGGGGGAAGACGCTAAATGAACCGCTCCACAGACAACTGCACAAACGCTCGACGAAGAACTAGTAGATCCTAGCTCTTGGGCCACTTGAACGCTAAACTTGTGGACCGCTTGACCGCTTAACTTGTGGACCGCTTAACTGCTAAGCTTGTGAACCGCTTGACCGCTAAGCTCGTGGTGGTTAACTTAGTTAAATTACATTTAACCAAATTTAACCAACTGCCTCACTTAAGTGGAAGGTGGGTGCCTGGGATACCCAGGGGCTTCCACTGTGGCCAGCCAGCCTCTAGATAGAAAACTGCCCCCGTGGCTGGCAAATCCCCGCAACCCAGCCATGAGCCCCCATTCCAAGCCGAGGGGACTCTCCGAGCTGACGCAGCCAGATCGGAGAGGGAAGGAGCGGCCCAGGGCTGGGGAAGCCCTGGCCCCGAACTACCCAAGTCCCGAGGCACCCTACAAGGACAACTAGGAAAAGGGAAAGATACGCAAGAAATACCTGTCAACTGAGAAGGCCTGCTAACCCTACGATAGTACTAACGGGAGTGTGAATATAGATCTGATACTCATCGCTGGACCATCTGCCAAGTGTCTTGATGAGGTGATCTGGTAAGCCACGAGAGGCGGCTGAAGTAGCAGCGCCAATACAGAAGCTATGACCGGTGTAGCAACCAGGGACCCCAGCAGCGGAGAAGATAGATTGAATATTGGATGTCATCCATTGGCGATGTAGAGGGGTGCCATCAGAGAGAAGGAAGAGTGGGCCAGGAGTTGAGCCACGGACGTGTAGATACTGGGTAAGGGTGCGTAAAGGGCAGAGATCACGTTCACCAACACCAATGTAAATATGGTAACCTTGGCGAAAGGGTTCTGTCCTAGAGCACTTAATATGAATCCTGAAGCTGCTTGGATTGACTAGGGAATCTGCTTGGACATCACTGACAGCAAGGTGGATGTCAGGATTGAAGGGGGAGTTGACAGTGAACTCATCAGCGCGTAAGAAACCATAAAACCCGAGACAGCAGGCAGCCCACAGCATTATATGGTTGTAGTCAGAGAAGTTCAAGGACTGGAAGATAATGTGCATCAGCTCGATTGTGATGGGTTGGCGCTGACGCCTATTTGAGCCTTGGTGACGTTTGATACCCCGCAACACACGCTGTAACCGAAGGCAACCAACCAGCGGAGAAGGATGACCCTCCTCAATGTGAAGGGACCGGATTGCTGAAAGGTAAACCTTTACGGATGAATGGTGGAGATTATCAGCAAGATGACAGCAGAAACGGATGAACCTGTCTTCACTGGCTGGAAGAGCTGATCCCGAAGGAGATAGGCTATTGTCCTGAGCACAGAAATCCAAGAAGCGGCGTTGGGCAGAAGCATAGTAGAAGGGGCAAGACCCTGAGTCAAATAGAAGTGGCATTTATCTGACAGCGAAGTTCCAAGTCTGAGAGGAGCTGCTGCGGAACCTGGGTTGGAATGGAGTCTGCATGAGGGGCTAGGCAGCGAAATCGCTGAAACTGAAAGCGAGACAGGGAGTCAGCGATTGGGTTAGACTTCCCTCTAACTGGGGAGGCAGTGAACTAGAAGGAGTGATGAGCTGTCAACAGGGACAGATAGCGAAACAAGGACATGATGGTAGGGGCTCTTGAAGTGCCAGACCGCAGAATGTCCACCACTGAGCGGTTATCTGATAGGACGTTGACCCGTTTGGAAGCCCACTGGGGACCCCAAAGATAAGCTGCCATGACGATAGGGAAAAGTTCCTTGTACTCGATAGACTGAGAGACCTGTGTTGGGAGCAGTGCACCAGAAAACCAGTGACCCTGGAAGACTGTTCCGTAACCAAGAGCCCCAGAGGCATCTGAAGAAACCTCGAAGTCAGGAAGTGGAGCCCACTGGGGGTACTGAAGGAAGCTGCAACTATTCCAAGACTGGAAAAACTCTTGCCACCAGGCTAGGTCATACACGAACTCTTGATTGAGAGAATCGGGTGGTCATCGCGTCGAAAGGCACATAGCAGGTTGATCATTCGGCGCAAGAATGAGCGATCTTGGGGTACGACTTTGCAGGCATGCTGAAGGTGACCTATTAGAGACTCCAGTTCATTGCGTTTACACCAACGCTTTTGTGACCAATCCTCCAACAAGGCAGTTATCCCACAAAATTTGTCCTGAGGAAGTCGTGCCAGCAGATTAAGAGAGTCCAGTTCAATGGCCAGGATGGTTAGGCACATCGATGGCTCTCCTAGTTTGTCTGATGGAGGGGGATGCCAAGCTTAGAAAAACAGTCAATTGACCTGTCCACATTGTGTTGACAGACAGAGGAGCCGGGAGGGCTAAAAGTGTGGAAGTCATCAAGGTAATGCATCAGGAAGGTGACATCGTAGTTTTGCTTGGCCACCCACTCCACTAAATCTGCTATACAAGTGAAGATATATGGAGCTGACCTGACACCGAAAGGCAAGACCATATCAACATAAAAGGCACCACGCCATTTCATACCCAGCAACTGGCGATCTTCCGTATGGACTGGCACAATGCGGTATGCATTTTGCACATCAAATTTTGCCTTAAGGGAACCCCGCCCCAGCCGCATTATGCCCGCAGTAATGTCATCTACCTTCATGTACTGCAGAGAATAATCCTCGCCCACAATTCCGTCGTTGACACTGTGGCCCGCAGGGCTAGACAGGTCCAGAATAAGACGCCATTTCCCAGGTTGGTGGCGTTTGGTGATGACGCCGAAACGACTCACATGGAGGAAAGGGAGGGGAGGCTGGGGCCCGCCACCCTATCTGTCTGAACTTCCGATTGCAAGTAGCTGTCGATGACCAGAGGGTTTAGGGGTGCTGACGCCATATTCCCCGTTGCCGACTTCAGGGAAGTACTTTAATTGGAGCCTTGGTGAAAACCATCGCGAAGGCCTTGGACTACGTATGCAACTTTGTGTGGGTTAGGATGATGACAGAGTTCATGCTGGAATCTATCCACATTAATGGGAGTAAGCTTAGAAACTGGTCTTAAAGGACAAACAGCTGGAGAACACAACGAATAACTAGAACTTGGCAGACCCTGCTGCGGAGAAGGTAAAAAAAAGGAGAACGCAGCTCTAACGCTGAAAAGTTACCATGAGAACCAACGTGAACAGAAACAAAACTATTTACAGCTGAATTGGCTAGTGGTGGCCTAGCGGCGGCGGTGACCCCCCTTTGACTGAGATGGGGAGCGGGACCGTTCTCTCCGTGCGGACCGGTGAGGGCAGTGGATGCGGGGGTGGTCCCCATGGCACGATTCGCAGGAGTGACAAACCCGGCAGCGACCAAAGGGCCAGCGACAGCGCCCATCGTTCCAGGAGTGGCAATAGTGGCTAGACCGGGGGTTGTCTGAAGACCCGAGAGGCTCTGTTAGTGACGAGGCAGATGAAGTTGACGAACCTGAAGCAGCTGAAGTGGTAACCGGAGATCTGGTGTGAAAATTGTAGAGGTCTGGGTGCATGTGAAACCAGTCGGTTGAACCTGAGGCTGCGGCTTCTTTTCTGAAGGCGATGTCGTAGTGGAGCCACGATTTGTCAGAAAAGCGCCTTGCTGTCTGAATAATGAGTAACGTGCACTGATTTAAATCTTTCCAGGGAGAGGGGAAGGTGTGGGAAACAATCATAGAAAAGATTGTGAAGGCTTCTATCCAGGTGACGATGACTGTTATTTCGATGACCGGTTTTTTAGACACTGATACCACCAGTTTTCCCTCCAGAAACGCTTGGGGTTCGATTTCTTGAGCTCGGATATTGTCCGGAAGTAGGTCAGCCAAGTCTACAAAATGCCCTGCTGTAATTTTAGAAACCAGCTTATACGGGACTGGAGCATAGCCAGGACCCACCAAAAATGCTTTGTTGAGGTTTGGAAATGTGGAGGACTCAGTTCCGGTCGCGTCACCACAAGAGCCCCCAACCACTACAGGCAAGTTGGCGGAGGACGTGGCGGGAAGAGAAGAGACAACCGCAGTGGTCGAATGCAAATTTTTGTACGTTTTACGTTTTCAGAATGCAGACTCTTATTTTAATAATTTTAATGATAGACTCAATAGTGCTTAATCAAGAAGCT